CTTCGATGTTGTTTTGGGCCGTAGTATTTTTGCAATATCCAAATTCACCTATGCCCAGTTCAATCATTTTCTATCTGACATTCAGTCAGTCTTCTTCCATTACTCACGCTTTGATACTTTAGGTTTCTTTTCAAAGCAATTATTATCAGACCTAAGAAATTTTACAAAAGTACGAAGTTTTTTGTTTTTATCTTTCTATTTTCCAACTAAAAACAAAAGCATTTTACCGCTGCGATTGCATTTTGTTTTCATTTCCGACAATTTAATGCAAACAAAATGACGAGTAAACAAGTTCGTAAGGGAAACTTCTTTTCCACAACAATCAATAAACGCAACTTTAGTAACCGGCGGCTAAATTGTTTGCAACAAAAGCACTAAATGAACCAACAGCGAGGCCATTAAAAAGCGCCCCATAATAGCCGTTTGGTCAAAGAGACAGAAATAGATACAGGCCATTTAACCCACAAAAGCTTACCTACCGCGTCAAGTGCTACGATGTAGTATTTAAGTATGCTCGGCTATATATACATACATATGTACTAAAAGTTATGAAGTGACTTTACACTTTGCTCTTGGGGAGCCAAACTTTTATGTCATAAATAATGTTGTTTCACTTTTACGTTTGCATGACTCGTGCAGTTGTTTTTGTTGTTTCCACTTAAATGTACAACTACCTGTAAAAAGAACACTCTGTTACTTACCATTACCAACGTCATTGCCAATAATATTGTGTACTTCGAGTATGGTTTATATTTGCGTTGTTGTTATTGTTTACCTTGAAAACGGCCATTCAACTTGTAGCTGTAAAACTTACTTATTAATTCACGGTTTTTTTTTTGATCATTAGGAAAGGCCAAGAAAAACTGCCCACAAAAAGTACAAGTATGGGCGGCAGCCAGTAATTGGCATAACCAAGAGTAAAGAGGTTCTTCTTGGTTTTACTTACAAATTATTTACTCCCTCCAAATAGCGTGTAATTTCGCTAAAACAAAGGTGGGCTAATGCCAAAAAAACACCAAATGCCGCCCTAGTTCGGCGTGGCAAATGTCATATATTTTATTCAAGCCCACGTGACAAGGGGCAGTACTGTACAGGGCATTGCGAAAATTTCCATAGATAAGCGGTGGGCGATTTCTTTCGTTTCGTCTTATTTTGTATTTTTGTTTTTTTTTTTTTACGTGGAGGGAGCATCGAAAGCATAACTCAAAACCTTCAAATCACCTAAATCTCAACTGAACCTCCTGCCAGCAAATCAGCGTTCATCGCCTAGGTTATACCGTTAGGTATTTCGTTGGGATTCGGATTTGAGCACTGGGCTCTATCGATCCTGTCTTAGCGCGGTTCGTAATAAGGGCAAGGGGCGAGATTGTTTGTTTGTAGGCATTGACTAAAAAAATTACTTACCATCCACTTGAAAAAAATCTACCAAGTCTGAAAAATATGCACCGATAACGTTTTTTAGTTATTTTTATAAAAATTAAAATTGTTTTTAAAGAACTTTTAATTAAACTAACTATACCTTCAACCAAAAGCGATGAAAGATAGTTTCGATATTTCGACAGAATGTAGCCTTGCTGAAAGAATTTGCCGAAGCTCAAATCCGTTAAAGGGAACGGATTCAAAAACACTCACCAGAAAATTTATTTTATTTGGGTTCACAGGGAATTTAGTATAATGCTGGTAAGCGTATCGTTTATTTTAGCAGTCTTTTCGCAAATATACTCCGAGTGCTCCTTGAAGGTCAGCGGCGTGTTTTATCCAGGGATACTCTATTGAATGCTTTGATTACATGGTGCGCCCCTTAAATTGATTTTTGCATGCTTCTTTTCTGAATAACAGAAACCCTCCCTTTTTCCGCCGGTTCGGGACCCATATGATCCAACCAGCCTGAAAGTAGTTGTACGTTTTCGTTTAATGATAATGATACTGATTGTGGAAGTCGTAATGATAATGGTAATGGTAATGGTAATGGTGATGGAAATGATAATGTCAATTGTTATAGTAATGGTATTGGCTATGGTAATGGGATTGGTAATGGTGTTAGTATTGGTTATGTTAATTCCAATGGTATTGCCAATCTCATAATAATGAGCTGTATTTCTGCGCTGAATTTTTATTCTAGCCACACAAATTTTATTATTATTTTTAGAAAAGTACTTTCCATTACGGGCGACTCTGTGTAGTTCATAACGCTATCCGTAATTGCTAATTTATTTTTGGTACATACCACAGCCAATCATTTCTCTCTTTGTTATAACGTCTTTAAAAGTGCTATTTAAAGTTCAAGGACATTAATCTTAAACTTCGCGTGATTGAAATGCATTAGGAATTATTAGTCTGAAAATAATAATTTATTAGGGTTTTAATAAATAAGACCGTTTCCTGCCGAAAATATGCACTCATTAGCAAATTTTGCTTTTCTTGCTAAATTTAAAACCTCATAGTACAAATTCGTACTCGTAATAAAAAAGTTGTAATTTTTCAAACACGTCATTAAAACCCATTTTTAGTTGCGCTTTCGCTATGAGCCAACATTTGTAAGCAATAAATATTTTGCTCGCCTTTTTGTATGTAAAACAGTACAATAATCAACACGTTGTTAGCTGCCAACAGGGGGCTTGTAAAAGAATTGGTGGTGCGAAACTTGACGTTCATGAAGGTTATTTGTAATCGATGTGGAATCGCAAACGAAGGTAAACAAAATTACCGAAAATAAAGAGGTAACAGCAATCGCACTTGTTGGACTATTGTGAAATTTGACTGCCAGAATGTTTATTTGCAAATGTTTGCATGTATTTGATGTCAGCTTGAAATTAATTTGGTTGTTAGTTTTCGGAGCTGATAAAATTATACTAACAAGGCAATTCTGGCTACTGTGTTTCAACTCACCACAGACTTACGAAAGACAACAGTTTTTCGTAAGACAGTTTTCAATTCTGTTAATTATTTTGAAAGCTCTTTTCGGTCGTAAACGTAGTAATAAAAGAAATAGTTTAACGTGGCGGAACAGTTTAGTTTACACAATAGAAATGAATTATATAAAAAGCAAATAAAATAAAAAATATATACTTTCTTTAAAAAAATAAAATCTAAAAATAAAAAAAAATTGACAGAAAAGAAAAAAAATTGTTCAATTAAAAAAAAAAATAATAACTAAAAAAATAACATAAAAAATTAAAAATAAAACAAAAATCATATGAAATTGAAAAATGCATATTTAAATATATTTTTTTAATTAAAATAAAAAAACCAACAAAAAAGGTTTAAATAAATATAAATAAAAATAAAATAACTTCCTAAAAAATAAACGAAATTGAAAAAAAACCCAAAAAATTCAACTTACAAAAAATAGTTTATTTTTGTTATTTATGGCCATATAGCTTGAGGCCGTTTTTAATGTAAATTGTTGTTTTTTTCAAAAATTTTCATCAAAAATTACCTCAAGCTCAAAAAATTGTTGAAAAAATAATGGCCTTATTCATAAAAAATAAAGAAGCTTTATAAAAGGTTTATAAATTGACAAATGTATGAAAACGTCAATTTATAAAGCTCTTTAAACCTACCTTATTTTTTATGAATAAGGCCATAAGTCTATACAAATTTTATAAAATAACACACATAAACACATAAATTTTTCTCTTTACCCTAAAATATAAAAATTAAAAGAAAATTAGATTTAAAAAAATTTCACTACCCGAGAATTCGAAACATGGTTCTCTCGAATGCCACGACAATGCTTTACTCATTCGGCCATCGCGACTGTTGAGGCAGCGCGAGGGAAATGATATACTACAAGTACTCTCTGTCAAAAGAGCTTTTCATCATGAATGTTGGCAAGTGAGGTTATTTGGTAAGAATTCGGGCCAGAAAAACAAAATTTTTAAAATCAAATATCTGGCCTACTGTCTTAGCCAAGAACCTGTCAGTGTAGCGCTATCGACCTTTCATTCCAGCAGACTCCATGACCTGCTCTCGAGATAGCAGCTAATGATCAGTCCATTGGAGAATACAAATATTTAAAATTTGGGAATTTTTAAGTCTCAACCGTGCGATGTGATTTTTAAGGTTAAGCCAAGGGTGATCTGTAGTGTCCAACTTTCACTAAAAATAAAATTTTTTTCTGAGAAAATGACAAATAGAAATGAATTCGGTTAACAAATTGAAACATCATTGCCATCTTTTAAATTAGTCTTAAAATGAGTTTCTAATACTAGCCGTACAAGGTTTCCATATCAGCTCGTTTCTAATGAACTTCACTTACGTCAAATGCATAAGTATTTAAGGCGACTAAGCCAATAGACTTACTCCACAATAAGCTTATGACCTCATCTAGAGGCGAAATTTCCCACTTTGCACGTGCCACTCTACACTTACAGGTCTACTATATACTCGTATAATACATATTTACACACATAACTACTTAAGTATTTTGTTTGAGCTTTCGCTGGTGCGTGTGTAAGGAGTTTAGCGAGCCTCAAACCGTGGCGAACTAATTGCCAATCAAGCTATTCTAAGCTTAGTAACTAACAACTGGCTAACTAACAAAACTAGCTATACAACAAAGCTAGCCAACCAACTGACCAATTCACCAAGCAATCGACTGACCAACTCACATACAAACCATACTATTTACTAATACATTTCGCCCTAACAAACTCCATTTTTCTCGAGCGTGGATTGTGGTTGGCATTGGTTGGCCACAAGCTGAATTGACCGACCGACCACCTAATTGTTCGTGTGCCAGGAATGCACGATTTAGTCGATTTCGTGACCACCTGAAGGAATAAACGTAAAACGTTTCACTGTCGTTCGAAGAAACGCGCTGGCATTAAACTTGGGAAACGCTTGCTTTTTTTATTTAAATTGAATAATCTTTCATTTACGCGCGTAGAAGAATTTAATCGACTTAAAATAAAAACTTCAAAACTGTGATTAAAGAAAAATATATATATTTTAAAGTAATTCTAAGAATTTTTATTATTAACTAGTATTCAAATAAAATGGGTTGTGCCAGCAGCACTCCTATGATTGCCACGGCTGGCAGTGATATTTTGAAGGCAGCTACACATGCTGCCTCAGATGCAGCGAAAGGTGCTGAGCATGCCGTAGAAGGTAGTTTATTGTTGTGATATTTTTATTTAATGAGTGCAAGAAGAGCTGAAGAAAATTCACTGAAATACGAAAGAGTATCTTTTTTTTTTTTGTTTTTTTTTTTAATAATGTGGAAAGAAAAAATAAAGGATGTGAAAAAGTAAAAACGTTAGTGACGAAAAAAAATTAATTGCTTAAAATTAATTTCGATATCCTGTACGTACAAAAATAAAAATAAAAATCATTGTTTAAAACCTCTAACATATTTGAGCTTTGGTTTAAAAAACCGCATGGCTTAAGCAAAAATAACAGATAATGTGGGTGATTTGGTAGGAAAAAAAATATCAATTCAAAAAATTTTGATTTTTGGGCACTTTGGGAATGCGTTGCTGACCACCAAAGAGCTTCAAAAGCCCCGCATAGTTGTGAAAACTTACTAAGAAGATTTTCAAAAAATATCGCGCACCCTCTTAAAAAGAGGCACAACTCAAAAATCAGTTCCGGAAATATAACTGCTTGTGGATCGTACAATTTCAACACAATTAAAACAAAAACGGATATAACAGTATGAATTAATTAGAGAAAAATTCTACGGATTGATTTATGAATAGCGACAAAATTTTTTTTTGAGTTGCGCCTCTTTTGAAGATGGTTTGCGTTATATTTTTGAACAGTGCCGGAAATTCTTCTTAGTAAGTTTTCAGGACCGTACGGAGTTTTTAAAGCTGATTAGGGGTCGGCAACTTGTTCAGAAAGTGCTCAAAAACCATTTTTTT